CAAATATGTCCATCTTCTCGTGTTGTGTCGGCAGACTGGCGAAAAGTGTTTTATTCTTCTTTTTTATCACTTTGATATTCTATTTTCCTAATAAAGGTCGCAATTGTTGACTCAGTTCTTATGAAAGCAAGCAAATCCACTTTTGGTTGTTATCCTCATTCCTGATCAGATTTCCATAAAATCCGAGTTGAAATGTGCCCTTTATAACCATTACATTTTACTTAATAAATTCTCTTGGGTATTCATTACTTAGATAAATCCGTATCAGTTTGTCCAATTCCTCATCCCAAAACTCTTTGTTAGTCGTAAGCTTCTGATGATCAAACTCAGTATTCCTATCTTTAGTGTGTAGTTATGATGAGACTGGAAATTAAGGATTATTCCAGCGTACGAACTCTTTCTGTATAGTTTTCTCATGTGTTTTCCTCTGGAGCGTTGCTCATAATTGCACAAAATTCCACATTCAAATAAGCAAGTAAAAATTGTGATAGGAAAGGCGTGATGTGAGGATATAGGATTGGTGATTAGCCCAAGGGAAAGGAGAGATACTACAATTGTTTAGCAGACGATTGGTCAAAGGATCGGCTTGACTTGTCTCTTTGACGAGTTGTGGTGTGGTACTAAGACTGGCAAGACTCACTGACGATGTCGGCGAAACATCTAGGAATGTACCGCGTCTACGATCCGATACTGAAAATTATCATACATACAAAGAACTCCGGGCTGTATACGTTTATCTAAGTCTTCCTTAATATGAGCAACCTTTTCACGTACTTTTATATATTACCAAGTTCCTCTGAATGACTAGTGGTAAACACGTGGGTAACGTAAAGCTCTCTGTCATTTTTCATTTCGTTGCCCGAAAACTAAGATAGATATTCCCCAGGCCTTCATTTAACATAAGATAATACCTAGGCGTTGTTTTTCTAGAGGGCGTAGAGTTTGGGCTATTTTAATTTGTAGAAGTCAGGATCCGATAGACAGACGCCTAAGGTTAGACAAAGTGTTAATAGAGTGCATCGATTTATAAAAACTGGAACTATGATTGAAAAGACCCTTTTTCAGTAATTCAACTTGGTAAGAAAAATTAGAGGAACGCACCCAATCCGGAGTCCATTGTATGAATGATAATTTTCAGTCGGACCGTGGACGTGTTACATTCATAGACGTTGGGTTATTGAGCTTAGTAAATGCATTAAAAAGGTAACAGAATACCCACAGCTTAAAACGCAAATAAACCGTTGATATTAGTACCATGAAAATTGCTTAAAAATGGGTAATATCGAATGACCAAAAACATAAGGAAATATCGAAGCAAGACAAGATCAATGTACTTATGATAGCTAGTAACGTTTTCCTCGTCAGAAGCCTAGTAGATAATTTAAATATTAGTTTATAAAATATTTATTCTTAGTTCGAGCTTGATAAAAATAAAGCAAAAGTTGATTTAATATAATATTTATTCCATTATTTACCACTTATAGATGCAATATGATTTAAATTTAGATAGCATAATGAGACCTAAATTAAGAAATAAAATATAAATTGCCCCAGACCCTTTTTCCATTGAAATAGAAGCGACAGAATATGTATAATGGATCAATTCAATTAAAATTAGCAATAGTTGAATTAGCAGTAATAATAGTAATAAAATAGGAAGAAAATAATGTGGAATTATTCAGAATGACATTAAAAAGACCACTGAAATAGTGAAAATTGGGAAGATTACTTCATCAATCAAAAAAACAATTTGAACAAAAATAATGCTACCTTTATTCGAACAAAATAAACGTAATACATTTATGCACACATATGCATATGTATAAATAAATGTTAAAGCAGTGTGCCCTCACCATAATAATTCATGCTCAAATTAGTGTATAACTAGAAGAGGCACAAAAAAATTAAACTTTACATTATGAGAAACACAGATTAAACTATATATATATATATATATGAAATAGACCTAAATAGTTTGAGATCATAAAAGCTGTCTGTTTTAACGAATGAGTAGAATTATTATAGCAAATCCAGGAATGCAAAGTGTAGAGAACATGAAAGATTGAGCTTTAGAGAAGGTTATTATAAAGAAGGCGTAAAATAGACGTAGCCTAACAATGTCATTATGAAACATGGTGTAAAGATAGCCCATATATATATATATATATGAAAGGATATGCGACCGGAACATTTGGCAGTTTAGGAAGGATTTGATAAAAAAGAAAGGAAACTAGCCTGGTGCCGGCAATTATCAACAAATCAGAAAAAATGAGCTTTCTGAAAGTAGAGCTAAAAAGGTCATCTCATAATTTCAATGTGAAATAAGACGAACGATTGGCTTTGTTAAAGCCTTCGTTAGTGATTGATTGTATACATATGCGCCTTAGTTCACATAACTAAGTCAGACTTGGCGCGTCGAGTCGTCTGAAAAAGTATAAGTAGGCGTTAGGATAAGGGGGTCGTTCGCTCCGAGCTACTTGCTCATCGTTGTAAATGATCCATTCGTCCGTATGCTCCCCAGCGCGCACCTGTTCGGCCCATGCAGCATCGAACAAACTTCGGCGAATGTGTGCAACGTAATGACCATCCTGATGGAGAATAAATTTTGAGAGAAAACTAGAGATAATGCAAAAGAACACATAAATGTGAAGAAAATAATGATAATCAAGGTGAAACAAAACATCAGAGTTAAATTTAATTTGGGTCATGAACGAAGAACTATTCAATTCGAGTAGATAAATCTGAAATCAAATACTGAAATTCTTATGTGTAATCAAATTCGGAAGCATAGTGAGGATTATTTAACTAAATAAAAAAATGAATATACCCAGAGATACGAAGATCAAGGTAGTGTGGCCTTATGCTTAGTTGCAGTCTTCTCTTGCTTTATATCGTTGATGTCATCTCGTTTTTGCAACTTGGTGGAAGGGACAGGGATATCTTTTGGATTGTAGCAAGTAAGTTGTTGCCGATAAAGGCGATTTGCTCACATGTCTCCATATTCACTCTTTTGCAGTCATTGGTTTTATGTAATCCTTGTGCTAAATGTCCCACCCGTCTCTCCTATTTATTTTTAGTCGCAGTCTTTATAGTTTATGCTGGAAACTCAGTAACACTCCATTTTCCTAACTTCTAGGTATTGTGTGGGCAAGGAGGTAAAGAGGATCGCTCTATACTTTATGATTGTACAAATGTTAAATTTAAATAATATCAGCCGCAGCATCTAAGCCAATGTATCGATTTTCATTTGCTCCACTTTCTTTACTTTAATAATCCACGCCTACGACTTGTCGATTATAAATTCTGTAAAGAGAAACTGGAAAAACTAACTCAGATGTTTCTTGAAAAGTGGTATCCAGAAGAAGCAGTAAAAGGCAAAATACGGAAAGTGAGGGGATTATGAAAGAAAATCAAGGGGAACAGAGTAAAAAACGATGGAAAAGTCTACAATCTTGTGAATTGTTTCAGAAGTTGAGACCAATACTATAGAAATTCAACTTCCGTACAATCCTGAAGAAAAAAGACGACCCTCTTACAAGCTTGACCACACAACAAAGATAACAAAATAGTGCTCCGTAATGTACAGCAGAAATTGCAAGGATTATAAACCAAAATAGATCGTAGACGAAGAGGACAATCAGCACAGGTATCAAAGAACACCAGCGACTATGCAGTCTACCAAATTGAATGGAGTGTCTCATATGGAAAAAACGCCAGAAAAGGGAAGCAATAATTTCGCGTACTGGCTATACAGATTAGAAGATTAAGCGAGAATAGCGAAAAGAAGACGCTTTGACCAAGGACAACTATTCACTAACAGTATGAGACATCGCCAAGAAGATCATGATGAGCAAATAAAAGCCAAAAAATGAGATTGCAGTAAGAAGAGTCAAACTTGTAATCTGCTTGAAAATCTAGTGGTGGGGTAGGAACAGGCAGATTTTGCTCCCTTAGTTATGTTAGGTTAAAGCGTTCCTCACGCTGTGTGTGTGGTATATTTGTGGACATTTTTCGGAAATGTGCCTTAATGATAGGTGACAGATGACATGCTTGATCAAAAAGGGGGGATATCAACCAATGTACACATGAACAACTGACTAGTATCCTAGGCTTAGATGGGACTGTTAACCTGAGAGACAAAAGTGGGCTTTACACAACATGCTAGTGAAAAAGGTAAACGGTAGATTTTCATACCGGAGAATCAGAATTAAGCAGGACACAAGGCCTCAAATAATGAAATTAAATGTAAGTGGGGATATGAAAGAGGATAACTGGGTGATTGGTCTAAAGCCTGGGAAGATGAAGATGTCTAGTAATGGGCATAAGTGGCTTTATATCCTCGGAACGGAAAATGAAGAGTCGTAGGCAGTTAAGCAGTGATTTTTATGCGTAGCAGTGACAAATTGACAAGGTGAAAAGGCGGGTCAATGAAAGTCAGGGGTCCTGCAAGTTGCATCTGAAACCTGTGGTGAGAATAATTATGCTTCACTAAATGCACTTGTATGAACACAATTTTAAGTGACATTGGAGGAAACTACCAGTCCTTAAACACCTTAAATAAAATAGGGATAAAACATATCATATAACTCTCAGAACTTACTTATAAACGAAAAATAAGTAATGTAATTGATTTTCACAGTAATTATAACTTCGCTTCATAAAAAATCACACCAAAGAATGTAATATGGAAGAATGTCTAGCTTTCCTTAAAAATTCACACCTGCCCTGTGATCTAAGAACATTCGTGGCGATTTGGCCTAGTGGTTAACGTGTCGAGGTCACAAGCTGCCCTGTCATAGTTCGACGCCTATTAAGGGTATTGATAAGACGTAGTTAAGGTCGTAACAACAGTCTACCGTGGATGAGAACACCTGGGAAAACAAGTCTATGCGAAATGGATGCGTCAGCTCTACTCATATGATTGCGGGAAAATTCAACTAACACTAATCAATCACCTTAAACGAAGTAGGCTGAATACGTCTCAGATGACACTGGAGAAAACAATAGCACAGAATATTAAATGATAAAAAAGGGATGCAGCACTAGAAAATAGGACAAAAAATATGAGCGAAGAGTGATGCCACGACGGTCAAACAGAAAAGTGATTAAGGAGATTACCTTCACTTGTCATTTTGACAATTTATAACTGTGTTATAACGATGGCGCCCATCACTGATACCGTCGAAGCATCTGTGAATATACCAAGTCAATGGTCCGATGCTGGATATCACAAGACTATGGCAATGGACGCATGACTAAATACGGTCCTCCCTAATGCCACGACCATGTCGCAAAAATGAAATCAAAACAACACTGCGAATTTACCCAGATTCAAAAATAGCATAGGAGATAATAAGAAGAACCCAAATGATTTTAATCGGTTTGTTAGAAACTCCTAGTTTATGCAAAACAGGTAACCTATTACAAAGATTTCAATGGAATTTGTCATACAGAATTACTAGCCTGATAATTGAGATTCACAAGATATCCGATGATCTCTTTGCACTGCAGTATAAGAAGTGGCAATTGAAGGTAAATAAAAATAATAAGACTCGAAAAACCAAAGAGACTGATAATAAACGTTTTGTTAAAATATATTTGATGTCATTCTTAACCATACCACGATTAGGCTTTCGCATAAGGAGTTTTGAAAAATATTTATGAATATGCAAAAAGAAAAAGAAAAGGGGAAGTAATTACAGAATAAATATCAAGTAAGGCTTTCATCCGTCATATGATGAACATAGTCATGGCCATAAACCATGGAATTGTTGAGATCACGGAGGTGAGCAAAGGTCTATCCTTTCACAATCCAACAATCACAAGTCTAAGGCAATCCTTCTTTGGTATAATATAAAGCTAATATACGAATCCCTTTCAAATAAAAGGAGAGGAATGCATGTATCAGCTATTTAAGGATTATTCTCTTTATATCTAAGAAGTACATATACGGAAATTCACCATAGCCGTGAAATGAGTGACAGGGAATTCTACAAAATTTTGATTAAAAAAAAATCTGTAGTAATCGCGTAAAATTATTCCTATGTTTATAATGATGATGGAATTAATATTCCATTTAAAACTAATTAGGGATCTTGTAAAAGTACCTCCTGATTTAGTTAAAC